AAATAATGCATAAGACAATGGAGCAACAATCATTTAAAGTCTCCAAATCCTCTTTCCTACACAATTACAGAACTGTTTTATTTGATACGTGGACTGAAAGCATTCAGAAATACATAAAATTTGGCTGTGGTTGGGCAAATATGAAAAAGCAAAGACAATGCACACTTACTATTCAGAAATCTCCACACTTGGCAAATAAAACCCAGCAAGCCTGTACTTTCAGGGAAAGGCTGTGCTAATTGAATAAGTAATGAAGATATGATGAAGTAAAGGAAGCAACAAAGAGCCTTCCTCTTCAAAGATATTAAAAAGAGGATAAAATGTGATGCTGAACACCAGTCTTCCTCTAGCACTAACAAAAATGAAAGGGTACAGAAAAGAAGTTTGCACAGGCTAAGCCTTACGGTAGAAGTAACGCTTTGAACTGAGTGGGAAACGTAGTTACAAAGCTATGTAGAAGTGATGTGGGGACACATTTCTATCACCTATAGGAATGCTAACGCTCACCAATAAACCTGTTCTCTTGCTCTTTTTCTATGAACACTACACTGAAAGCAGAGGGGACATTTTCTTGTTGGGCAGCCATCGCTAGCCCAGAAGAGTAAGTATAGACTACAGATCTGACTGGAGTTAGGAAAATATCATCCAGATCAAAAAAACACTGCACTTACAATAAAATGTTAGCGTGTTTCCCCCTTACCAAGTGTGGGACTTAACACCTCACATTTTAAAAGAGAGAAAACCCCCAAAATACCAGCCCCACATTGCTGGCTGAAACCAGCATCCCCAAAAGTGTGAATGCAGGTTACAGTCAGTATTTGCTTGCAAGCAAACAGTGCCTGCATTCCTCACGTTCTTCACTGCAGGGACAACTGCAGCAGGAGGCAAGTTTCAAAAGCAAATCACCACTGAAAACCTTCAGTTAAAAATTCATTTGTAAATAGTTATATGGCTGTTTTGATGAATAGCACAGAGATAATCAATCTTTTCTCCACATCAACACGAAGCTGTTTATGACAATTATGTTGTTTCATCAAAGCAAATTCTCTTTTCCAAACAACTACTCTTTGTTCTACAGAAATGTTAATTAAAATAAGTTATGCAATTCAGAAATGAAACTAAATGGGAAATAAAATGTATTTCAGAGGCATCTGTATCAACCTAACAAGACCCAGACTGCTGTCACTGCCTGTAATTGCCCAGAAATAAATTCTTTAGTAGTTGTCATGGGCAGGAAACATAACTGAGCAAAAGGCCAGAAGATAATGATGTATTTTGGGATTTTAATACTTGGGCTGAGACTTGCCATAGTCCTAAATTTACCCTAAGGCAGACTCTAGCTTACTGCTGCCATCAAGGGTAAAAGGTGGCTGGGGGCCTTCCTGCAGGGCCATCGGGCTCCGAGTTGCAGTAATTTTGGCCCCATCAACACCGGCTCCCTTTCCAAAGTTGCAGGACAGAGAGAAGGGAGCATGAGGAGCCCCAGAGAGCAACTAATTCTGCCAACATCCTTTGTGGACAGGACAGGAAAGCTTTGCAGGCCACAGGCTCCTGGGTCCAAATCTGGGAGCTCTTGGCTTGTATCTGACTAGCGAGCGGGCTAGAGAAGAAATGAAGATGTAAACCAGGTCATGTATATATTCAAACTGACATGTTTGTTTCTACTGAAAACCTGCTGTTGTCTTTCTAGGAATGCATAAATCCCAGCCAAGTATTTTCTTAGTATGTACAAAGGGCAAGTGCAACAGATTATAATATTCAACAAAAAGGAATACATTGAGCATCTAGTACTGAATCCTTCTCAGATGCTAATGTGAAGACTACGTGATTTAAAGAAAAAAAGAAAGAAATATTTCTGTCTTTTAGCATTTCTTAACGGAAACGGACATTTCAGAAGGTGGGGCCTTTCAAAACATTCTCTTGGGTTTTTATGTTTTTCCTGGGTAACACTAGTCACAGCATCTCAGAAGAGTGCAGCTATGAAGTATGAATGAAGGCTCTTCCTTCGAGTGCAGTTATATTCCAGTACAACAACTTGAAAGAACAGTTTCTGTGGCCAATACATTGCTGGACATCTCATCCATCACAGTTAAATGTCCAGGAGAGGGGCATCATAAGATGGTGGCGACATGATATAGCAGCAGTAAATGAAAAACAAACACAAACATCCCCCAAAAACCAGTGCCTGCAACAGGGATCTCCCAGTCTTTGGTTGAATTTACCTGAAGAAAAGAGATTTTCCTTTTTCTGTCCTTCATAAACAAAAAAACCATAAAAATGCTCCCAACCACTAATGGCTTTACAACTAAAGAAATTATACCTACAGAGCAATATGACTAATGAGGAACTGAAAATAAAACTGAGCACTCCTTTGCAGGTGCGAGAGCAGATTATCCACCAAACTCCCAAAATCAGATTATTTCCTCAGTGAGAATTAGTAGGAAAAAAACTAATGTACCAAAATGGGATTATTCTAATCATGTTGGCTATACCCTGAAAGCTATTAAAATGGTCAATTTTACAGTCTGGTTTTCTGTACTGATACTGGGCAATGCAGTGGTGCTAGAAGGGATGGTCATCCAATTAATTTTTGACGCCCGGTTACAACAATGAGCCTGTTTTGGAAAACCTAGGAAGGAAGGAGGGCAGGGAGAAAACACAAAGCAAAGATTCAGTCGAGAATACATCAGGACAGAAATAATCAACTAACATGTGGACAGGAACACATCAGGTCCAGCATTTATGCCAGGCTGTATTATCCCAATAGCCAAGAAACCTAAATAGTATATTGCCACCATATAATCTATATTGCAAATCTGTAACTGTACCTTCTGATGACTGATGGAAATTATTCTAACTTCATTTTCTACTGTCAGCAGAAATAAGAACACAGCTTGTTATCATAAAACTGTGTGCAATTTACTTCACACAAGCATGCACACACACTTTCCTTTCGGTGAGGCTCTTTGGTTTAAGGTGACATTCTCAATCCCTCTGCTCTCCTACAAATTATCTTTAAAAAAGAGGTAATCAAAACAAGAGAAGTGGAAGAAAAGAAATCAGCTGTATAAAATGACATTATCAATAGGATGTTGCAGAGCAACAACTATTCGGGGCTGAATGAGAGGAAAGAGCACATGCATGTTTCTTTGTAGAATGGAGAACTGAAAATACAACATCCAAAGCAGACATTTCACTTGAAAGCAGAGCAAGGTAAATGCACCATGGTACTTGGGCAGGTTAGGGTGGGTTGATTTCATTCCCTCCTTCTGATGATGCAGATATATTTACATTTTTGACCCAAAATAGAAGAGCTCCCTTAGAGGAAGAAGAACACCACAAATATTTAGCATTGCCATCATGGGACATCCAAGAGAGCAAAAACGTACAGGCCAACACCTTGCAGGTACAGGAGGAAGCTGAACCTTTGGGAGACCTTTCACCTTTCTGCAGTTTGGAAGCACACTATATTTTGGTTTTGTCAAACTAGTGCCAGTTTTTGTTCCAACTATAAATAGCCGTGAATTGAACCAAATATGATGGAACTGTTCTAGGGTGACCAAAGCACTTTCTTGTTGTTTTTTTTCTAAGCAATCAACTACCTTTCACTACTTAATTGCCTCACTTTCATCAAAAAAGTATTGCTAGGACAAGTTATCCTTTCCTGCATTCATTACAACACTGTCAGTTTGTTAAGCTGCCCAGAAGAAAACGTTATGCTACTTCAAAGTCAATAGTAACTTTCAAAATAATCCATTTCAAAAGCAAGATGTTACTTTCCTTTCACAGAAGGACTTCTTCGAGAATTTACATTCTCCTTTCATTTGTGTTCTACGAGAAACTTAAATCTAAGTTTATTTCTGTCCAGTTATACTATTTATCTGGATTCTGAGAGGATTTGCTGCCTCAGAAAACGTGTACTTGGCTCTGTTTGAGGTTTTATTCTGATGTATAATGAAATAAAAATCAGGGGCAACAGATCCCTGAACAGGAACTGCAGTCAAAAAACAGGACTTGCTTCTCTGTGTAAGGCAGGAAAAAAATAGTTTATTCCTATTGCGTTTCAGGGTTCAGCACACATAGCAGGAATCTTCCAATCTGTCTGGTGCTAGCACGGAAAAAAAGTCTCATATAGCGAGAGGTGAAACTCTTTCTTTTCTACTCCAACAACTACATTAGAGAGCCCAGTTAAAACATTCCTTGACACAGTCAAACCTTGGCTTTCTTGTGAAGCATAAACATGACCATGTTTAACCTAGTCCTTGAGTCAGATGATTGGTGTGCACCGCAGAAAGCTCCGGTCTGGTTCAAGGGCACTGCTAAAGCACAGCAGCATGGGGTGACTGCTGCTCTGAACAAAGAGCTCCTCTTTCCACCCGTCTCTGCATAAAGCAAAAAAAACCCAAAAAACACTCAAACACTAAAGCCTGTTTTTCTTTCAGTTCACTCCAGCCACTATTCTACATTTTCTTTCTCTCCCCTCAACATGCACCCATGTCAAAAGAAATTACTCTTCCTTCTTACTCAAAGAAAGGTTTCTGATTGCTCCTGTGCATATGGAAGACTTCAACATCAAAACTGTTTGCGCATGAGAAATCTCCTTTTCTCACAGTTTAAACATTAAGGGCTTTCTTCCTGCTTCTGAACTACAAAAATAAATAGTAATAAAAATCAAATGTATTGTAGTTACTGATGAGAATTGTCTGAACAGCCAGACTAGTTAGAAACAGTGATGACAGACTGCCGTACGTTAAGCTTCCCATTATCGTGCCAGAAAACATTATAATCACCTTAATTATAGCAAAAGTGATTTTTTTTTTCCTCTCAGTGACGATGTAATGCAAGAATGTACAACTACTTCTGTTCTGTAATGTATGACAGTCTATAGCAAAGGCAAGCATATGCACATATTGTCAAGCATTTGAGCAAACAAAGAGCAAGTTGCCAAGTATGCAGCTAAACTAAACGGGCTCAAAAGAGGGAAAGAAAGCAAACTTTACCTTGTGTGTTTTGTTGAAATATCTTGTTCAGATCCAAAGAGGAAGCTCTGGAATGTGATTTCTGTGGCCTCGGAGGTGGAGTAGGGGGCTCTTCTCCCTTTTTCATGGCATCTTCTATTGATGTGCTAGAATAAGACCTAAGCACAAACAAGGCAGAGGAGGGAGGGCAGAAAGCAGAAAATACTTCCTTTCAGAAATTCATTTTAAACAACTACAGTAAATAGTACCTAAAAATACACTGACTAGAATTCAAGTTCATGGTGGAAATTCCTTGCCCTAGTGAATAAAAGTTCACCCCCATAACAAAACAGATTTATTCAGCAACAGAGGAACCTACATGTCTGGGGAAAGGAATGGGTCATGCTAACGGGGCCTTTTGTATCACAGCTTCAGGCCTTTTCACATAGCTTTAACTGTCAACAGAATAACTGAAGCAACTATTTTGCATAAACCTGAATAAAAACTCCCCCCCCCTCGTAGTTTCTGTTGCCTTTCCCAACTGTGAGAGTAGTGTCTATACAGGTACAGCTTCAACCTCTCTCTTGCAAGTATACACTTTGTAATATATGATATTCCAAATATGAGAACAATTTTTTAATGGCAAACAGTCGCCAAATTCCACAAAATCCAGAAAAACTGGATGCCTCCAAAGTAATCAACACTGGTCCAATACATGTCTCAGTACATCTTTCTAAGCCCTTCCACAACCCATTAATCCCAATGCAGCGCAGTTGATAAGAATTTGATTTTGCTGAATAGTGTCCAATATTTTTCAGCTGTTGTAGTTACCAGTTTCTCTGCAAGACCGAGAGCTTTGCACAAAATGAGCACTGACAATGTGAGATGTTACACTTATTGTAACACATTATGCATGACAGGCAAGACCAAAAACACATTCGAGTAGAACAGAAATAACTCCCACTAATGGGAAGCGGATCATTTTTTTGCCAAACAGGCTGCTGTTAGAAAAGAACCCTTTAGTGGGACAGACATTTGGCAATGCTGATCTCAAGTTTCTGACGTAAACTTTAATAAATACAGGAGTAAGAGTCTTAATTGCTTCAAAGTCTATATGTGACACAAAAACCTCCGCTGATGCTGAATTCTTTATCTTGGTAGAGTTTTGAATTTCATAGACTTACCATATGAGAACTAACACACATCTTCTGAAACGAACAGGAAAGTGCTGAACCATCTTAAGGATTTACTTTCCATATTATGCAATGAATATTTTACTTGGATTGAGATCGCACAACCTAACAGTTTGAGGACTTTTATTTCTTTTAAAGAACGAGTAAAATAGCTACCAGGTAAAAATATGCCAGCCCCAGTAGTGCCAACACAGCACCCTGTGACAGTGAATCATTGCTGGCAACAGGAGGATCTGGGCACCTAAGGGTCAGTCCAGAGCCAGCAGCCAAGAGTCTGCACAGCTCAGTCTAGAAAGCCAGACTCGAATCATAGTCTGTGGTGGTCAGGCACGCATGAGGACAGAGACCCTCGAGGCTACGGAGCCCTCTAGGCTACGCAGGACAAGGGCAGCAGAAGGTCTGAGTTCAAGGACGTGCTCAGCAGTATTTAGACTCAACTTCTGCATTGAAGTAGTGACACATAGTCAGATGTGAGACAGTCAGATGTGACACAGTAGTGACATTTTTTCAAACTTCTTTAAGCATTTCTATTTTATGCATTTTTTTCATAAAATGCTTTTTACACATTTTTTGTATATTTGCATGTTACAATTCAGTAACACAGCAAGAAATTTTAAAACAGCATGAAAACTAAAAAGCTTTGGCTAGCAGCAGAAAAATGGCACACAAGGCAGTTCAGCCTTCCTGGATATAGATCTTAAGAACAGAGGATTTCCATCTTCATTCATCATGCTTATAGCTGATCCTCTCTTATTAGCAGGCTTTGACAAGCTTGTAAGGAAGGAGCCCTGATTATACTCCCATTACCTAGGAAAAAGAAATGAAGCCCTCTAACCAGCCCCAAAAAGAAGTCTGAAGGTGAATGCATGATACATGATATGGCTATACACCAGAATGGTGAACAGACAAAACCAAACATACTATCCATTTATACACAGTATTTTCTGGCACACGTCTCCCTCTTCTTTCTTTCAAACACCCAAATTCAGCAGGTGTCATTTCTAGCACACAGCAGTGCAGGTCCATGAGTCCTTCCATCACACACCAACCAGCCACAGTCAGGTACCCACCAGTGAAAGGATTCACTCACCCACATCTGAGAGCTGAGCTACCACTGCTGTCGCTGGGAAGCGTGCACTGTGTCCCTCCACGTGCAACCACTGCGCAGGTTATAACAGCACAAAATTGCTAGGAACATCCCCCACTGTCCCACCACGACATCTCTGGGGCTGGGCTGGAGGCAGTCATCACCCCAAAAAGGCAGCGAGGCTGGGCAGAGAGGCAAAAGTCCCAGTGCCTTATGACCAGAGATCACAGAGCCCTAGGGGCAGTGTTTATGTAGGGTCTACAGCTTGCAGAGCCCTCCTGGTATATCTGTCTGATCTGAGCTGTACTTCCAGCATGACATCAATTAAAAAAAAAAATAATTTAAAAATGCAACACCATTTCTTATGCCCTGTGTCTAACTCCAGAGGAAGGTACGTCTTCTACTGAAAGAGAAATGAAAGCAGTACCTGGATCGTGGTCTGGCTCTAAATGCATGAGATTCCTGAGCAGCTGGAACAGAAAAGAAAAAGGAACCACCAAAACATTAGATATTAAATAAACGCCTTTAACTGCAGAATCAGTGCTCATTAAAAACGTCAGTGTTGCAAATGTGGATGTGAGAGTATGTTTATCTCACATGAGCAATGGAGACTGATTTTCACTTCTCCTTCCCCTTTGTTTTCGTAGAGTATGAATGACCTAAGCCCAAATGTAGGCAGAGCTTCACCTTTTAATTAAGTTACCAGAACCCAGGGAAAGCAAGAGCTCTCATCTGTACTCCTGGGTGTAGTCGTGACAAAGCAACATAAGAAATAGCATAAACTTTCCACAGAAAACATCTTACTCCTAGTACAGAGATCTATTCGCTGCCCTGCTTCCCAAAGCACAAAGGTTTATGTTCTTCCTCAACATTTTAACCAGTTCACATAAACCTACATCTTCTTACCACCCATAAAAGAAATTCACACATCAGGTTGAGATTGCTTTGACATTGGGAAGGAAAGATATTTGAAGGCAGAAAGCATTACAGGCTAAGTGTTGATCAAACACATTTTTATCAACATAAAAATCGGTTTCTATTATGTGGATGAATTCTAAATATCCTGTCACACACAGGTTTTATGTGACAGGAAAACAACAGTGCTGACTTGCCATCTCTGGGTAATTCCTTGAGGCTGCTCCTTGGTTTACATAGTCTTTTTGTGACTTTTCTATTACTCTCCTTACTAACATCAGATCATTTTGAGAAAACGTATCTTTGTGACTGCTTTCAAATTCAGCCCACTGAGATACCCTCAAGGTATTACAGCAGCATCAATGATCACAATGCACACACACAGCGAATCCTTGCACTTTTCCCACTATGCTGCTAATCAAGGTAAAACACTTAGGAGAAGAAAGCAGGTTGGGGGAAGAACATAATTCTCAGAGTTTCTAGCTCCCTTCAGATACGTGCCTACTTCCAAGTCAGACATTTATCACCAGATGGTACAAAGTGCTACCTGAGACTAGGACGGATCCTCCAAAACACAGAGCAGGAGCTGCCTGTGGTAGCAGCTGGCAAATACTTTCTAATGGCTTGAATTGTACTACTGCACAGACCCTCCATAGGAGGCCTTAGGCTCACAGAATACAAGTAGCAGCATATGGCACATGTACAGCCACACACTATTTCTTCATAAAAGAAACTGCTTTTAGGGTCACGCAGTGCTAGTTGGCGCTTTGGATGGAATAAACCCAAACGCAGCTGACAATGACACAAACAACCACTTATAAACCAAATTCTAGTAAATTACTGCCACTACAAAACTGGTCCACAGTCATTGCAGCTCCCTGTGCAACATACTCTTCCTAGCAACTAAAGAGGGAGAGGGAACTATTATTAAAATACACAGTGGTGATAATCCTCCTCTCTCTCTCTCTGTCCAACTCCCAGAGAATACAACTTCAGACACTGCTTCCCTACAGCCATATGACCCAATTTTTCCAGCGCTGAAATTGCTGATTATTAAATTACTGCACAATTATTAAATATATGCCACTTAGAAAGAGGAAGTATAAATCCTTTCCAAGCTAAGCCATGTTTAAGAACCTTCAAATTTTCCTTCTTTTATGGAGATCGTAATTCTGCCCATTCTTTTAGGAAGCCTTTTGTCTAGAAACCTGCAGGTAAAACTGACATTCAAACTCTCTGAGGACATCTTGTTGAGGTAAACAGGAAAGCACACAAGGAAGAAAGAATCCTGAAATGACTACTAATAAAAAATGATCGCAATAGAATACTACTGCCAAGGATTTTCTTTTAAGCTTTTTAAAAATCGGGAAATTCAAGGCTACAATTACACAATACCCAGACTTAGCTTTACCCTTCAAAAGAAGTAGTGTAATATAAAAACATATTATAAAGCCGGGAGTTCATTGTTAGGACACACAAATAACTGTGGTGGGATTTCCATAAAATGTGTATTCACGTTGGCACACTCAGTTTGTGCGTACTTTGTGCATGAGGTGCAGGTTTGTACACATAACAACAATCATTCAAGACTATACAAAACTATTTAAACAGATCATAAGTTTTCCATATTTCTATTGCTATGGATACATAAGCCAAATTTTCATGAAAATGATAAAAAATTAAAGCTGTTGAGTAGATTAATTATATTTATTATTTAAAAGTTTGCACTATTCCTGAAGTAGTAGAGCCTGATGAACTGAACAGCTTGGTCTGCACTAGTTAAAGTCACATATGATCATGAACTCTTATTTATTCATTCACAGGAGACTGCGGTGGTTCTTGGTTTTGGTGTTTAACTGCTCCCATGCCCCTCTCCCAATACAACTTCATTTTAACATTCCAAAGGATGCTGATACAGTAACTTTTGGCTGCAGCCTAATATCTTATACTCAACTGGTGCCTCCTTGCTTTACAGGCTGAAGACTGGGTCAAAATTGTTCCATAAAACATGCACGTATACCACATGGCTAAAGAAAAAAACAAGGATTTCCCTGCTAGTCTAAATCACACCCACTGACTCATCTCTTAATAGAGGCCTAGGCAGAAATGTACAATTTAAAACGCTCACAAGTTTGGTCCTTAATCCTTTAGAAGTCTAAGGACAACAATGATCTTGCACTGAGGAGTTTAAATAAACTGGCCAGATATTGGGAGATGCTGAGCATATAAAGTTTTTACTGACTTGAAATTTCTAGTCTTTCTGATGGCTACGAAAACTTTCCCATAATGAAGCACGTCAATATCACCTTTCCTGAATTTACATAAATAGCCCAAATGAATATCCAAATGAAGAAGGGTGTAAAATTTCTCTCGCTTCATCCCAACTGAGTTTTCATCCTGAATGTTAATGAATACAGTGACCTTTCAGAGTGGTGAAATAACCACTCAATTACCATGCTGTATCTACCCCGCTGCACAGACAAACATTTTTACTTCTAACATCGATCCTATCTTGCAACCTGAGAATGTGCTCGCACCAATGCACAGGACAGCAAGGGTGAAACCCGACAGTGACAGGAGTCATGACGATGGGGTGATGGCTGCCACCATCTCCCACAGTACACAAGCACTGGAAGAACCTCCCTGACCAGGAGATGAAGGACATGGGGAAAAGAGGTCGGTGGTGGCAAAGGAGATGTGCAGGTGAAAGTAGGTATTTTCCCTAGGTGTACCAAAGATGGAACTGCTGAACTGAAAATAAAATACCCTGGGGCACTCCTGGGCAAAACTCAGGGAGGAGAACAGAACTGAAAGCCTTGCGAGCACTCACCTCTCCCTCTGAGAGGGAAGTGAAAGAGCATGTGTGTGTGTGTGAAGGAGAAGCAGCAATCATTTGAAAATAGGAGCTGAAGATATGAAATCTGGCAGCTGCCAAGTGTTTGGGAAGAAGCCAGGAAAAAAGGAGTTGGGAAATGAGGCATGCAGCTGCTGAGCAGCCATGAATAAATCGAGCTATGAGACAAAACTGCTGTGACAGACATGCGGGGTCAGTTTTCTTAATCAAGGATACCTTCATGAGTTAAAACACTTACACAAAAGGAACAGAAAGCAAGTGCAGATTTTAGCTTGACTGGGACCAGGGAGGACTTGCAAACACTCTTACCAATCTAGGAAAGAGATTAACAAAGAGGAAGGCAAGGGGGCTCTGATGAACTGCACTGAATGCATGGGAAGTTTCTGGAGAAACTAAGCAATTTTGACATATGCTATTCCAGAAATAACATTTTCCAGTATGACAGGAACAAGGAGTGTATGTTGGGGTTGGAGAAAGAAAAATCAGGGGTGGTTTCAACAAAGAAATGCCTCCCAAATCAAAAGTTTACATCAGTGCTGTAAATGCCACAAGGTCCGTTTCTCCAAAAGGCTATCTACCCTTAAACTCCTTGACAGAAAATATGAAAGCTCAGTTTTTATGAAGAAACAGGCCATTTCAGAAGTTACTGAATAGGTATTCCATACTTGAGAAGAGGTTTTTTCAAGAGGTACAGTATCTGTGCTCTGGCACTTCATTTGTAGTAGAGAAAAACAAAAATCAGGCTCATTACAAAATGCTATGTTAAAAATACTTCTCACACATGAAGAACGTACATACGCTAAAAACAAGAGAAAGCAAGGAAACCTTTTGACAACCTGAAGTACTAATTAAGATTAATTTTGCAAGCATTATGAGTTAAAAGCTAATTTCAGTAGTAAGATACTATGACAGCAAAAGTATCTTTAAAAAATGACGTTAGACAAATTACATTTAGACTTACTGTGATATAAAAATATTTGACTGAAATTCTAGTGGAAGTAGCACGTCAATTTTTTCTTCTTACCTGTTTTCACAGTCAAGTGCTGAAAATCCTTTGGTATCATTTTGAGAGCAGTGCTTACTTTAAGAGCTTAATAAAAAAAGCAAAACAGTGAAAATTACTTCAAGTATGTGCAAGTACAATCTACAGGTATCAGCTCTGAGAAAGGAGCATCTAAACCAGTGTTAGAACATCTGATAATGCTAAATGTACTCAAAACCAGAAGTGGTCAAATACCCTCAGAACACCCAAGCACTCAAAAAACCAACAATTTTTAAGGGCATAAGAGTCAAGATCAGAAAGGCCTATACACAAATTGCCAAATAATCCCAGATTTTGAGAACTGGGGTTTTGGTGTCTAAATCCACAGACTTATGTTTTAGAGATGTGCTCTCATAGAGACAGCAGCTGGAAGCACTTGGCAAAGCCTGCCTCAGGGAACATTACACAGCACCAACAGAGCCAGGGTTAAAATTTAGGAAAACTCAATCTTTGTGTTTATTCCACTTCCATTGATGCCTACACATCCTTCATTAATTACTTTCTTAACATGCTCTTAATGCATTGTACTTTAATGTACTCTCATACACAGTATTATAAAAGACCACTAGGAATGAAGTCTCTCCTCTTCATCTTCCTTTATCAAATAAAACATTTGAGAGATGCCTGGTTCTCGTGATCCAGTTCTGTTTACACTATCTTCCACATTTACCTATAGTATAACCTGATGGATCGGAGCTTATTTACTTGTATAGTTTTGAAAATGCAGGAAAATTTGCTTCTGCAGTCCTGAATTACAGGTTCTTGACTTCTGGGGAGATCTCCTCAGTCAGGAGAGTGTCCTCCTCTTTCATTTGTCAAAATAGCAGTAAATGGTAGAACAAGAGCATTCGTTCTTTGGCTGAAAAGATAGGAATCTGTGTCACAAATACAGCAAATCTTCAGCCCTGAAGGACTGCATGTACCAAAGCAGCTTCCCATCTGACTTAAAATGCCAGCTACCAAGAGCAAAGCACAAGTTTTTTCACCTACAGAGGGAAGAAGGAAAAAAAAAAGATTCCCCAAGTAAAAAGTAAATCTGCCTTAGACATATGAAAGCAATAACCTTCAAGGTTCAAGTCCTGCTCCTGTCCATCATGAATTTCACAACAAAACAAACCTTATCAACAAAACATGAATTTCCTGGAATATGCTGACTTTTCAAAATGTTTTACAAACACCCGTCAACTCTGACAACCCTTCCTTGAACCAGGGACACTGGGAATCTGCCAAACTCGGTCACACCTGAGTGTGGAAAGCGATTCAGGAATGTGGACTACCTGGTCTCACAGCTCTGATAAAACCTCAGCATGTGGACTGCTGGGAGGTTAATATGTAGAACTTTTTCTCTTTTTTTTAATTAATGTATAATCCACAGCTCTGAGAAGAAGTTAATAAAATACCCGCAACTGTTTTGTTTCCACAGCTGAGGGACAGGGACAGCATGTGAGAACCTGAAAGGTCAGGGAAAAGGAATACAAAAGGGAACGACTGTGTGATGAGCCAGTGGCGATTCTGGAAGCCCAAGTAGCTGCTGAGTGGAAAAGAAAAAAGATCACTTCAGTTGCACTTTCAATTATTTTAAATAGGAAAAAAACGAATTTTTAAGTGTGATATTTTCTGCAAAAAAAGGAATGCCAAAATTTGTCAAAATGTAGTAATTACTCTTACAGAATTCCTGATAAAAACAACTTTTTTTAAAATAAGAAGTGCAATAATTAATTGCCTTAGGACTAGATATATTTTAGAAGGTGTATTTCGTATCATTCACATATGATAGAACTGATTTTGAAGCAAATCCATCCATTTATGTGTCTTCAACTAGCTGCTGTCAGTGAGTTCTCTCTACAAATCTATGGAAATACACAGTGAGCTTAGAAATTAAACATACCTTTGCTTCTGTCAGCAAGTATATGGAATTACTAAAAACACACAGAACTCAACCCATAATGGTAAAAAAACCCTCCAAGTGATTTATATGAATACCTTGTTTGTCATCTTTCTTTGCTTCTTGTAACAGGGCAGAGTTATCGGGTACCTCTTCAGCTGATGCCTTCTTAAAGAAAGAAGATGTATTTATTAACTGACTAGCATAGCACATTTCCACAGTCAAATATTTAAGAAAAGAGACCAACACAAACAAAGGTGATATTCTCTCTTGCACCATAATTTGCTTTGTCAGATAACAGAAGCATAGAAGACCTTCAGAAAGACAACCATAACTCTGCTTTTCAAGGTACAGCAGACCCACAACTAAAATTAGCTAAAGGAGCACTTCAACAGTGAAACACAAGGAACTAAGGACTGGATGCATGGAGATGCTTCTCACAACGGATCAGTGCCATTCTGCGTTTTCGCTTCTCCTTGGGTGTAACACCTGCCCTAGAGTTGAGGAAACCTTCTCCAGCCCCTTCACAAGAGGCAGCCTCCATCAGAGCAGCCAGAACTCCGGCTGCACCGCAGAGCCCAGTAGCTCTGCATTTGAAGCCTTCCCGCTGAGGTGGCTGATCCTTGGACTACTTTTTTCTTTCAACATGCAATCACTGAGATGGGAAAAACAAATTTTGCTAGCATCAATGCTGCAGGCCCATTCAGGCGTCTGATGGGAAAACAGGGAACTTCTCTCCGGTCTTATTCTTTAACTTTTCTTTATTTCAGCAGCAACTTGTAATACAGGCATTTGTTGTTCTTGTGACTGCTGCTGCATGCAGAAACCATGAGCAAATGCTACTATCATTACCTGTAAGAACAAGGATATGCTCTGCAAAAGAACAATGGAACAAACATCAGAAACCCCAAGCTTCTGTAAATACTAAGTGATGCTGGTTTTTTTTGTTGTTTTTTTTCTTTAGGGAGCATTGAAGAGGTTACAGTCCACTGGGCCTTAAAAAACAAATAAAATTCAGAAAAATAGATTTTGCAGACATTAAAAAAAAAAGAAAACAAAACAAAATCTCAAATCAGCAATTCAAGAAGGCCAAGTCCAGAGTAAAGGGCAATGAGATCTATTTACAAAGTTGCATGTGGGATTCCGTAATGCTTCTGAAGAAGCAACATTGCAAAATACAACTTAAGGACTCTGAGAATTTTTGAACAAAACACTTTAGACATCCCTAGCTAGCCCTGATGGTCTAAAGAGTATTGGACTAAAGACCTAATTCAGTGCATGCTTGAATTGAGGGAATGACTCTCACAAATTTCAATTAACTGTGAACATTACATTTCTGAGGGAGTTTAGAGTGGCCCCAGACAGTTATTTTATGCATATAGTGCAAAACCTTGTGTCTTATCTTTAAGCTTTTGGCAGCAAGAAAGCTTGTGGAAAAGAGCCAAAGGAATAGAAAAGAAAGAAAGAAAGAAAGAAAGAAAGAAAGAAAGAAAGAAAGAAAGAAAGAAAGAAAGAAAGAAAGAAAAGACAGACCAGGACAAGAGTGGGAGACAAAAACTTGAGAAAAAAAATGGGAAGACAAAACCTCCTTGGTTAACAAAAAGCAGTCACCCATGCCATTCTCGAGCATTACATTAGCAGTCTCAGTGTGTTTTGTAAATTTAACAAAGCCTAGCACTCAGGTGACCTGTCTCCTGCCATTGTGTTCTTTATGGATGTATTCAAGAACCATTTCCCTCGTACTGTAGTACCGTAGTTCAACAGTCACAATAAAAATAGTCTTCTGAAATTAAATTAAACAGCTTGACTAGGTGGAAAGAGACAAAGACATGGAGGTAATGCATGACGGATTGCATTGATAATATAATATTTTTAGTGTAGTGATCAACTACCTAAACTGTATTTCCTCAAGTAGCCAAGCTACAAACCAAACTGCAACAGTGAATTACTGCGCTTCCCACAGAGGCAGATAAATTACTGACCTTCCAAATGATACTCACTCAGTGTATTAACTGCAAACATAAAAATACCAGTTGAATAAAACAGAACAGAAAAACAAGTAAAAATCATTCTCAAATCAGTTTTGAGAAGATATTTTATAGCCCACTAATCTTGAAAAGCAAAGGACCAAAACAGCAAGGCCCTGAAACAAACCAATTGACAGCTTTGCCCTGCATGTCCAGGACCCAGAGAGTAAAGAAATGGAGCAAAATCATTCTAGCAACTGTGATGTAGTCAAGTAACACGCTCTATGCTCAGCCAGCAGGCAATCACGCTACATTTTCAGCCTAGTCATAAAAAACCCTGATTTTGCAGAACATCCTGCCACCTTGCAGAACCTAGGAATGGAGCAGAAGACGCAGCTGTTCCCCAGGAACATCGTCTGACTATGAAGGCAGCACAGAAATCTGCAGGTTATTGGCAATTACGGGGAGAAGGTCTCATGGAGAGTGCAGAGATAACGGGGAGGAGGTTTGAAAGCTTAACTGCTGGCAAACAAATGAAAAATTAAACATAAAATGGGGGACTTGTTGCTTGTTTGGGGTTTTTTTACATCTTGTGCTGTATACACTTTACAGCTATTCAATTATTACTACAATACTCCTACTATTATCATCTCCACAGCAGCAGAAAAATCTAAAAAGCAAAAAACCATACAATTTAATTGCTTAGGAAATCATCTCCTTCTAGAGTTATCCTTACTCTGCACAAACATTCAAGCACCACAAACAAGAAGAGCCTACAAACCAGACATTTAATAAGATTACAAAATAGTATTGGTTAGGTTACTGAAATGACATTTTATTTCTAAAAAACACAAGACTACTCTGAAAGTAAGATTTCTGAGCTTTCTGAAATATATAAAAGAACATTCTAATCCCAAAGGCTGTGCTACTTAAGAGCAAACTTCCTCACGACTCTGCAATAACCATTTGCATATCTGGATAACCACCTGCAAAGCCAGCATCCTAACAAAAACAAGGGCCCCCCAGACCACAGAAATACTGAAGTAGGTCTTGGAAGTCAAGAAGTTATATAAACTGAAGCTTTTAAATTATGTGTACAAAAGATACACAATCATATATTTATTAATATTTTTCCTATAATTTAGTTCTATATAATATCTGTATCTTTCTTTTAGATGCGTATTTGCATACACACATGAAAATGCAAGCAAAAAAGAGAAGCTGACACTCAAGGGTCTTTCCTATTAACAAAAAATATCCAAACAGGGATGTGACAGTTTTTAAGCTGAAGACAAATAATTCTGCCTAAAAATGGGTATCTTAAGCTGATGCAGTGAGTTAACTCAAGTACTCAGTTGACACTGCAGCCTGGAAGTGGAATTATGGATACACATATGCTGACATCAGCGAATCTGAGTTTTCAACACAGATCACTCTGAATTTTGCTTCTTACGCTTCTTTAAATTGCAAATCAATATGCATACATGCTAATGAAGCACACTATCAAGGGACTGCTGAGCTTTGCCGCATGACTGCACAGTGAAAAAGCGCCACTGCAGTGTGGCCTGTAGCACAATCTCACAGCCTACTGCGAACCACCCTCCCAAAAATCAGGTCACGCACAAGAGATGAGGCTGTTCTGCTGCAGTAAAGGACCTGTCTATGCTGCCAGTGTCCCAGCAGCCTACACTACCAGACCAGCAGTGCTGCTTTCAAAACCCAGTATGACTGCTGTACTATGGCCAAGCTGCCATATGCAGAGCAATACCACCCAAAGAGACAGTTCCATAAGATAAACTGGATACTCAAAGTGTTGGCTGTAGCATTGCTCAAAGCGAAGACTGCGCTCCTTAGCAGCTTTGGAGAGTCTGGTGGTACCACTACTGAGCTGAATCAGCTGGGAATCAGCACCTGACCTAGGAGCTCCCCAAGACAAGGCATCAGGAGGAAACAACTGGAGAACAGCCTTGCTGAGCTGCTATGACATACCATTACTTTTTAACTTGGAAGCAGCATCAGAAGAGCCTGTTCTAGCAAGTCAGTCTGCCATTTGATTCACTACCATAAATACTAAATCTTTAAATCCCACAGCGTATATATATGCACAGTTGCAATATCTAGTCTCAACTCAGTGGCCATGGTTAGTTCAGCTTTACAAGATCTTTGCATTGGTTTTTAACTCCAGTGATAAATACTTCTCCTTAACTTAGTTTTGCTTGTAACAGCTTTCCATTACAAGTCCAGTATCTGTTGTGATATTGCTACAACGGATCTCCATTATTCTCTCAAAACACTCTTCCCAGCTCCTTACAACTACTATCTAGACCCTATGGTAGTTCCTCAGACTATGAAAAGCCTGAATATTAAAACAGAGACCAAATAACTTAGAACAGAACTATGCATGACCACACTACACAAAATCCGGGATAGTTTCAGTCTCCGAATAAGCAAAGTACAAGAAATCAGAACAAGCCAAGACATTTTTCTTCCCATGATCAAAACTGGGAGAGTGTGGAAATGGAGTACTGTAAACTGAAGAAACAAGATGTACATGATCAGGAGTGCCTAACTAGAACAAGGTCTGCACCTGAACCCTCACATTTGTGACCAATTCAGATTCAGGGGATGTTTCACCCAGGCTTAAGGGAAAGCTGAGAGACTCCTGAAGTCCTCTCACAGACTTGCAGCAGTTCTGCTGTAGTCATTATGAAGCTGGTCTGTTCCTCTGCCCGGGAACCACCCTGCCTACACCTTCTCACCTCCGTCCGACTGAAGTCCCGAGTCTGCTGACCACCTGGTAACGACTCAGAGTAAGAATCAAATAGGGCACAGTCACGCATGGGCTTCAAAGAAGCTGCAGGGAAAAGAAAAATAAAATAAATAAATAAAAAACCCAAAAAAACCCCGAAAAAACCAAGAAGACAGAGACATGCAAAGTCTTCGGTTAATACACACTTCTGAAAAACTTGTTCTGGCACCCTTTTGCCCTTCATTTCTACATAGCAGAACTGATCTCTAAGCCATGGATGACAAACGCAGTGAGGAACAATCTCTCTATCTTGTATTTTGAATAAGTCAGTGTCATGAAAAGGATAGCATGTATAGTTTCTGTTGTGGAAATAACTGTGAAATCTGGGCAAAGTGATTCTTAGTAAACATTAACTCCCAAACAACAACTGCTTATTTGCATTTTTCCTCCTCACAGTCCAGTATCATCTTAGTTGGCCTTATACTTACCAAATCTTCAACTCCAATTTTTGATATTCTGAATACTGAAAAGTGTAGTAGAATCTACATTATACACTAGAAGTGAAGGCCAGCAGAAAGCAAGGACACAAAACACAGTAGGTGCTGCAGTAAATACCATCTTTCACTAAATATCATTGACAGCAGGGGAAAGGAAAAAAAAAAGGAAGAAAAAAAAATCAACTTCTCACAGAAACATTCACAAGAACCTCATTTCTATTCCACAAGCTCAGGTCCTGCTGATATCACTCTGGGATTAGTTCCTCTGAGATAAATATGTCCTAATAGCTGCAAAACAGCTTTTCTTAAAGATCAATATACTGAAAGGCAGAATAACCAGTTCTCACATCAAATTTCTAGTTCCTGGCTAGCATCTAGTTTATCTGAATAAATTAAGCTCTTGCAAATCTGACTTAATGTACAATACAGTGGCTTACATACAGAGCAAACAGCTTTACAAATTCTGTAAATTAGTTTTAATAAAAACTTTCAGAAAATAAGGTGGTGGATCAGATTGTCAATAGACCTTTGCCAGGATAACATTTGGACCTGCACCTGTAGTTTATAGAACAAGTCACAAAGCTAGAAAGATTCATTCATTCTTAAATGCTCTGCCTTACACTCCAAGTCACTTTATTTCAAGCTTTAGGACTCTTATCAGATGCAAATACTTCACTTGAACCAAATTCTGCCTCCTTCTGAAATTAATACAACAACCTAAAGAAAAACAGCTTCCAGTAATCTTCATGAGGTTTCTAACAAGACAAAAATAATCCAAGTATCACAGAAATCAAATTATGAAAACATGAAAACAAGAAGTACCTCTTGAAAATTTCTTTTGACATTTTACGTAAGTGTATGAGGCACTTGGTAACTTATCAATGCTTTCATTTCAGAAGTTGATTCAACCAGGGCTCTATGCTTTCTTGTGATTCACGGTGTCACAGCTTGTTGAGATGTTCTGCTTTTTAGTAATGTAAGACTTTCAAAAGACAGATTTATGAATCCTGACTTGGTAGCAGAACAAGCATGAGACATTTTCAGACCTCCAAGCTAACCAGAATTAGTGTATTAACTGAGGTATTTAGAGCGCCCACAACGATTAGTCCTTTTACCTCTTCTATGCACATCAGCTTGAAATGCTTGGTTGCATGCAACACCATGAAACAATAACCATGTAAGAAAATGGTAAAGATCCCAGAGCTAAAAGGGATAAATTAGGGAAAAAGGACTTACAGGAAACAACCACAGCTTACAATGTGCTTCCTCCCATTGACATAATGATTCCCTAGCACTAGAGATAGTCACTTCCATTGCAGTTTTAATCAAAAAGTCTTAATGTGAAGACACACCAACAAGAGCCTGCATGGAGGGGCTTACAAGGTAATTTATCACAAGAACAGGCATGAGAGTAGTGAACAAAGTGGTGGTTCTGGAGGGAGAAGGGTAGTTGTAATTATGACAAGGAAATGCAATTACAGAGACTAAAAGTCTGTAAGACTTGGAAGTTCAGGTTTTACAGGAGCTTCTCCCTTTGGATATGAAGATAGTGTATTACAAGGAACATGACTCCACTAGAAATCACTTCACAAATCTGATACAGGGTGAACATTTAATTTTCCTAACTGCAGCTTGATTTGCTCTTTTCCTGTCTTTTAATATATTGTGTCATCAAATTTAATGGAGATTTTATTAGGTCTTAAATATTATCCCTTAGCACTGTAATTATCATCTGTGATTAATCTTCCTTGCCCCAGAAAGTCATGCACACTTTTTAGATGGAGCAGTATATATTTCAACATTCATTTATAATTAAGAGAGACATAATTGAAGAGAACAAATGAAAGGGCAGGTCTCTCACTGCACATTGTTGCTGAGGTATGTTATATTTTGGATTAATTCATCCTTGTGCTACACGAACTGTTGTAATCCTCCCCATCATTACTGCAATTTACTTACAGAGGAATCTGTGGATTACATAAAGTGAAATGCAAAAAAATTCAACCTTTGCTACAACCAATAACTGAATCTAACAAAATAAATTAGCATAAGAAGTTCTAAAGCAGTCCAGTATTGTTTTCAACACATCTTCAAGAGACAGATACTTTAAAGAAAAATCATCAAAAGAGTTAAAAGCAATGCAAGTCTTGTTGGAATATCTTTGCTACACATGGCCATCTGCCACTTTAGCTATAATGGCATCTGAAGCACACTGGGGCAAGGAGGCAGACATTAAGAGGCAGCTAGCTGCTGCACTCTACATCACTATTTTGTGCATTTAATATTTTGTGCATTAATATTTTGTGCATTAATAAATTCCTTCTTCAGTAATTGCCTCGTAAGCACAATTAAAAATGCATGCACTAAAAATGCAACCGGACAGCCATTACACAGCAGAGAACCCCATCCTACCTGCAGGATGGAAAGTGTCTTTAAAAGCCTGTCTTACACGCACGATGGGTTCCCAGTGTGGCTGCAGGAACACGACCTGCGGCAGGGACATTACCTGCTTGAAGGTACTCGGGCAGCAGCGTCTCCGGCAGCGTCTCCGGCAGCTGGTATCCGTTCTTCCTCGCAACCACGAGGTGGAAAGCGGCACAGAACTCCGGGAGCGTCAGCGCCCCGTCGCAGTCCACATCACTGAGCTCCCTGTGGGTACAACAGGCACACATTTCCCAAGCCGTTACCTCATACATGTGCAATCATGGGGGAGACAAAAATGCAACTCTGAGAAGGGATATTTTAATACCAGACAAGCATCTCTCTCATTTGCACTTGATCCTCACTTGTATATTTGTCTTGAGGAAAAAGCAAGTTAATTTTCTAATACTGACTTGTCGCTTTTTTTTCTTTTTTAATAAAGTACAGTTTTTGTGGTACATCATACATACAACATGATGGTATGTACATATTATAACATATTATATACATGAAATGCATATCCTGTACTTCTAAGGGTGACATTAACTTTCCAATGGTTGGAAGCACTTTTGGTCAATCCATGCAGGATCTTAAACCAATTCAAGCATAAAGTTAAAAATGGACTTCATCAATGGCTACTTAGCACTATTGACCAGCCTCAAGAAGAGGGTTAAATGAATGCTCTAGACAAGTCTAAATGTTATTGTTAACGTCTCACTGAAGCATTTCTCTCTTTTATTCTAGGATGCTTCTCAAGCACTAAAACTGGATTTCAGAATTCAAGAATTCAATTTTATAAATTAACTCTTGGCAAGAATTGAGTAATATTTTGTCATGAGCACATGGACTAAAACAAATAAAACTGTAACTTCCTACTCTTTGCAAGTAATGAGCATTTTTCAAGCCGCTGATGTTATAGTGACAAAAACTGAAACATCCTATGTGTTTAACACAGCAATACAATCTAATAAATCACATAATCACAAAATTATAATTATCTACTAGAAAGGAACACTTCAAATTTTGCACAGAGAACAACTTGTGTCAGCAACAGAAATAATGTGTTTTATTAACACATTGGGTTAATCCATTCTTCTCCAGTAATCTTAAATTCAAAATCCAGTATTCACTTCCCCCAGCACTGTTTCCTCAGTTATTTGTTTTTTTTTTTATTTTCACAACTGACAATCCGCTTTGAAAAGATTCCAGACATATTCTTTGACCCCGACAGATGTTAAGGCTTTTGAAAGCTTTTCTTCTCATCTCTTTTGATAAAAGCATATATAAAAGTAAAACCTCTATCAGCATTTCTGATCAACATTTAAAACTGTTTGTTCTTCCTATCCGAGATGCAAGTATGACACTGAATTACAAAGCACCATAATGTTTACAAAAACAGAATAGAATCCTTGTCAAATTTTATCATGTACAGTTCCATCTGCAATCATTTCTAAATAAGCTCAGTAAGTGTACTGGTTCATTAGAAAAGCACTGACGAATTATGTAGCACTAAAAATTAGACATTAATTAGGCCTCTTCTGACATAACACAGCTAGAAACATAAAACCAACAACACATCTAAAACATCACAGAGGTGCTTCTCCTCTGTGTCATTTCATGAAAAATGTCAATTCACTGAGCTAATTATGCTGCTTTCAATATACTTAAGAACCCCTCTCAGTTATTTTGCTGTTCAAACCTTCCCAGTCCTGCTGAGTAGGCGAACATGTCTCCAGAAAATAAGCGTGTCAGGAAGATCAATGAGCACCCTGCTGCTTGGGCCTGAAAGTGATTCTGGAGATAAGAGCAATAATTATAATTGAAGACACTTTTCAAGATTTAACAAGAACTCTTGAATTAAGCATCTTTAAAAAAAAAAAACACAACAGGATACACATCCCTAACACTATTACAGTACTTACCAGATATGAGAGAGCTCTGGGATGGGCAGCTTTGACTTTGTGAAGAAATTCTTCGCCACAGAACCTGTAGGAAAACCATGCCTTATCAACCATTGGGAATTTATTCCCCAATTATTTGCCTTTGGCCAGGTGTGCCATGCCAGAAGCAGCTAGTTACTTTACATATGAGAGACGCTCAGATTAACCAGATGCTAATATAGCTGTTATGGACCATTTGTCTCTTGCTGAGGAAGTGACACAGAAAGCCAGACAGAGCTGTTGACCTCATTCCCCCATTCCCTCCATATGGGAAAAGTAAATAAAGGAAAACACACTTTAGCCCTAGTGATTCTAACTAGCATAATTAGTGTGTCACTGATGATGAAATAACAGACACCAACGGCTCTCCTTCCCCCAAAACCCATGTGTGTGGCAGTAGTGCTGCGGCGTCTGCACTGCTCTCCCAAGACACTGCTTTCAACCATTACTTTTTCCTGCAGTGGCTCAAATTTTATTAAAATAAATGAAAAAAAAAAAGAAAAACAGGAGATTCAGATAGCACATAGCTATTGTCCTGCTGCAGACATCCTCACCCATCCTGCCACAACAGCCCTTTTCATTCTTCTAGCTAACAGACCCACTTCTTCACCACCCAATAGCCACAGGCTGTCAGGGGTATCCGGGAAGTCCTTCCTGGATACAGGCTGACAAAATGTAAAGCAACATAAAGCACAGAGCTCTAGGTCTATACTCCTCTTTCCTTTGGTCATTCGGGTCATATCACTCACTGAAGTACATTAAAAAAAGCTGTCAGTGGGGCAGTCCAAGACTCACCTAGCGCAGCATGTCCCCTCCAACGCCAGATGCCAAGAGAGAAGTATGTGACCATGACAAAGCAATGTAGTAATAATATAGCTCCAGAATATCCCTCAACCTCTGACCACCTGTGATTCAGGACCTTTCTCAACCAGCAGTAGCACTCGAATATTGAATAACTTCTGACAGATTTTTCAACCACAGATTTCTCAAATAGCTTCTGAAACCTGAACAAACCTCTAGCATCTGTACCACCCAGCAGCAAGGATTTCTACAGCTTTATTATTTTAGGATGTTGTGGAAGCTGAAATTTATCACTTATAAACAGTAATTTTGGGGGTGCAAGGACTGCCTGAGAATCTTGCTCAACATAAAGGAAAATGCACAGCTAGCTGAGAGGCTGTATATGCATATATACACACATACGCAGTTACAGACATACATAAATCTGTCAGGAAATACAATGTTGTTGAACAACCATTTTATATTGAAGGAGACTTAACTGAGGCAAAGAACTGGTGAAACACTAATTTCCGTAAGCAGCAGGTAATGTATGATCCTTCTATTTAGGATGGAAATGCAATCTCAATATGCTGTTAACAACACTTTTACCATGCTTGTGCTCTCTAGGATTTGCTCTTAATCACCTAAGGGTCAAAATCTCATTCCCTCAGAGCCATAAACACTCAGGTTTGACCACACAGGACAGTTAACTGTATGCTTCACTTTCATCACATGGACACCACCACATTTGCTTGAAAGAGTCCAGTGCAGAGCCACAAAGATGATTGAGGGTGTGGAACATCTCCCTTATGAGGAGCGGCTGAGGGAGCTGGGTCTCTTTAGCTTGGAGAAGAGGAGACTGAGGGGTGACCTCATTAATGTTTATAAATTTGTAAAGGGTGAGTGCCAGGAGGAAGGAGCCAGGCTCTTCTCAGTGACAGCCAATGACAGGACAAGGGACAATGGGTGCAAGCTGGAGCATAGGAGGTTCAATCTGAACATGAGGAAAAGCTTTTTTACTGTAAGGGTGACGGAGCACTGGAACAGGCTGCCCAGAGAGGTTGTGGAGTCTCCTTCTCTGGAGACATTCAAAACCCGCCTGGACGCGTTCCTGTGTGACCTGGTCTAGGTGATCCTGCTCTGGCAGGGGACTTGGACTGGATGATCTTTCGAGGTCCCTTCCAACTCCTGATATTCTGTGATTCTGTGATTTCTGCTGGGAAAGCAAGCACAAGCCTAAGGGTTCTTCCAGCTCAATATATACTGCAGGTGTGATCCACAAACACAGTCCCTCAGAGTGAGAGCTCATTTTAATTTTTACCAAATTGCAACACTTCTCTCTTAGATGTAATTAGCTTCCTAAAATCAAGATATTTAGGAAAAAACATAATGCCCACAGAACTGTTTTGCTTTTTGAGTCTGCCTTTAAAAAGAAGATGCAATCAACTCTTTCTCATAAACTCACACCAGAGAGAAAAGAATAATAAATTTATCTACTTAACACTTCACACCTCTCAGCCGGGTCCCTCTACTCTACACACATGCTGTTGGGTAAAAATTACCTGAAATGAAGGAGTTCAGGTCAGGCTGCAGGGACCTGAACTGGTTGATGTAGTAGTCTCGCTGCTCCTCCGTTATCCTCCAAGGGTCATCTGAGTAGTGGGCGCTGCTGTCCTGCTGCTCCCGCTCTGCTGAAAGAGACTGAAGGGAGGGACACTGGGAACCTCAATAAACCAGATTCCCTCTCTTCTATTAGCAAGCACATACTTTAAAAATATTTGAAGCAGAAATGGCCACACTGATTACTATCCCACTACTTCTCTGTTAAAGCTGAAGCTAATATTAGGTATCTTTATCCAGACGATTGAATGAAGTTTTACATGACCAAAGCTAAAAGAAAAAGGAAATCTTACTACTGCTGACTGCAAAAAAGGAAAGTCCAAGTCATGATTTATTACCTCTGGATTAATTTTGGGGGTTCATTATAACCCTGAACTGCACACTGTATATCTGAAATGGATAGAACCAGTAAAGGAGCAAAAGCTGTATTTATGCAGCACGGTACATGAAAATTTAGCTTCGCAAAGAAACTATGTATTTACTCTAGGAGAGGTGCTGTAACTATGGAGCTATACCACCTCTGGACCCTTCACTCACCCAGGTTTAGGTAAAAATTCTCCTTCAGGAAAAAGAATATTCTGGAGAAGAAGGACATTTTATTCGTTTATGTCTTTGTTTTCTGATTGACTTGCATAAGGCAGGTGTGTATGTTTGGTAGGTTGGGTGGTGGTGTTTAGAAGAGGGCTGCTGGTACAATTAATGTCTTTGTTAAACTGGAATGACATAGTATTTCAGATGCTTTAGGCCTGAATGACAACACTTTTAAAGCGGGAGGGCAAGAATGAGCAGTAACAAGGCTCCATCCAGCTCTGCAACCCCTTCTCTGACATACCTGTCCACCTCCTAAAAATCAAAAGCAAAACACCAGTTCCGAAATACATCAAAAGATCCCCGAAACAGGCAAAATCATAAAGCTGTAAATTAATTTTCAGTTCCAAGTGCTGCACAAATGCACCCAATTTCATTACAAGTTAGCACAAATTATGTGACACTACCTGTAGAACTTTTCCTAAGGCTCAAGTAACATTTCATTATGGGTGTTGAGTGCTAAACTAGGGAAAAGGTAGAGAGTCTCTGACTCTTACTTACTTAGGAAAAGTTCTCCCTTAGGAGAGCTTTGTCCTTCCCTAGGGCAAACTACCTGTTTGTGTAATAAATGCACAGCAGGCATACTGAAACATCAGAAAGATCTGCTTTTGTAATCACAGGAAAACACAGGACCCATCTCATAAAAGCCAATAAATGTCCAGAAATTAATTTATTCTGTTTGAGATGTGATTTAACCAACAGGGGTGAAAAGAAAACCAGAATACGCAGAATATTAGACCATAAATTTGGTGCATGTTACAGACAGCATTCCATATCAAGCAGGAATTTCTGTGAAACCTCATATATTTTAAATGAAAGTGTTTTACTTTTGCTAGCATAATCTCAGGGTTTTTAATGCTGAACTAAAGTTTCTTAGTCTAGTTTTCCTATGTATGCTATGTGGTGCTTCTCATTCTACTTAGCTTCAGCAGTTAACTAGATTATTTATTTTAATTTCTCCTTCCCATCACCTTTCTTTTTCTTTTTCATATATAAAGAAGCCCGCTTCAGCTCTTAGTCTAAAAACACCATGGAGAACAATTTTTTTTAATATCTCTATTACCGTTTTATTGTAATACTACTAAAGAAGAACATGCAATTCATTACCCGATTAAGAGTTGAACAGGCGAGTGCAGGTTTGGCTCCGTAATTCCCTGATGGTGGTCCATCCTGCTGGTGAGTGGAGTGTCTGACTTCGTAAGGCACTGCAGACATTTAAAATAAAGTATACAAATGAGATTATAATAAAAAAGATCCTACTAGGCTAAAGGAAATAATTAAATATTGCCAGGTCAAGAATCTAGCTTGTGAACATAGTATCAAAGTCCATTTTGTCTTCTGCAACAAAATTCCAGCCACATGCTTGGCTTTCACATTACATGATTCTTCTTCAGACATTACTGATAGAAACTGTCAGTTATATATTACTAGATACCAGAAACCATTGTTCAGCATGTTGAAATATGTATTTATATAGCCTGATTACATATTTATGTATTTTATATACTCATAGCCATATATAGCAAAAAAATGCATTACAAAGAAGAAGAAATAATTCAATTGAGCTGCAAAGAAAAAATACGCTTTGACAACACTACCAAACAGTAAATCACTAATTTTTCATATACTCTTCTTCCCCCTTCCCTAATTTCTGTTGAAAATCAAAATACATGACTCACCACTTCACATTAGTGGGAGTAAAGTTAGTAAAGAAAAGTAACAATCACTTCTTCATTTGCTAAAATAAGTCACTTGTGTTCCACTGCAGCAAATATAGTAAGTGGTGATGTAAGAGCACATTTAGGAACAATGTTTTAAAAATAAGTCAAGTGTGCAAACACAAAGGCAACTCACTTGCAAACCCTTACGGAGCTGAGAACTTCTGTTGCCAGCCTATTAAGAGGTACCACCCCAAAGACAGTCTGCATTCAACAGACAAGACTTAAAAGACTCTTGATGAAAAGTGAGACCAAGAAGTATAAAAAATTTTGAGCTCAGGAAGACCTTAAAAATTACACCCCTAACCCTGAGTGGTCTTATACTGTATTGGCATCTATTCTCATGCCTGTATGAGTAACTTCTAATTTAAAAAGAAAAAAAAAACAACAAAAAACAAACCCCAAACCTCCACACAGGAAGGAAGTTGGGGAACACACAGATGACCTTGGAAAGCAGATTAAGCACACGGACACACTGAAAAGCTTCCAAAACTAGCATGAGAAAAGTATATGGTCATGGTTGCAGTGCAAGGGGCTGCCCTTGGAGACACACAGTCCAGTGTCAGGGCCCAAAACAGCCCACCCAGCCCAGCACCATGGCACTAACACCTCCTGCATGTATGCTAATGCGACAGCTTCCAGACCCAACCTTTGGAGAGCTCTTCAGAAAACTAGAAGGGTCCTAAGGCCAGGAAGAACCAGGAGGTCACAAAGCCTGGCACTTGGTACAGTATGGGCCATAAAATCATAGAATGGTTTAGGTTGGAAGGGACCCTAAAGCTCATCCAGTCCAACCCCCCTGCCATGGGCAGGGACACCTCCCACCAAACCAGGTTGCCCAAAGCCCTGTCCAACCTGGCCTTGAACACTTCCAGGGAGGGGGCATCCCCACTTCGTTGCCACTGAGAACACATTCGGCTGAAGGATCCCCAGTGGGATTGAAACAGGAGATATTCCCTTTCTGGAAAATAACCATAGTGTTCTACACCTCTAGGATTTTTTATCACTTTAAAAAGTCAAGAAATTGAATAATTAATTTTAGAAGTTGACAGATGGATTGGATGTACTGGCTCTATGCACTTTGCACAGCTGCTGAGTCCATGAGAAATTTGACTCAAGTTAATTTGCAGCCAATTTCAGAGGGAAAAGAAAAAAAAAAAAAAAACAAAACCCAGAAAACACCCACCCCCCTCGCCCCAGCACTGACAGATCTGGGACAGCGTCCCAGAAAACAACAGAGCACAGGACAGGTAACAGTGGTTGGCTGCTCCCAATGGCCACCTCCTGACCAGCTCTTCAGAGCGTGGGCCATCTGCCACATGTCCTCTTCACTGGAGCAGAACAAGCACCATACCAAAAGACAACCTCGCGAGTGTTGTTTATTTCAGAGGTCAACCATCACTGTTTTGGTCAGTTCTGCCAAGGGTGGGGTGCGGGAAATCCTCATTTCTGGCACAAACAGCCATTTACCTAACAAATGGCAAATGAATGCCTGTGACTCCCTATGGGTATGATCTTCACGTGAAGGCTTCTTGACATTGTTGCACACATTCCTATCATGGCTGTAGTGAGTTTCAAAGTCTTGTAACAGCTCCGGTTTTCCACTGATTTGTAAACAAGGACAACAGCTAAGGGACTAGCATGCTCTACTCCTCGCTCACTGCAAACACACTACCCGAAATCAGGAGGGATGGTGGAGGGAAGGTATTCATGAATGCCTATTGCCACTATCATGGTCACCAGATGCTGCTATCAGGAGAGCACAGGCACTGTGTTATTAACAGGAGTTTGTAAGGCTTTAGTAAAACTGAATTCTGCCCCACTATCCCTCTTACTAAAATCAGAATGTTTTGCCACCTACTCTAATGGCAGGAAGATCAAGGACAGAGCATTTATGTAGTGCCTTATTGTGGCTGTTTTGCCTAAGTTATATTGTGGGAGTATTTTTATATTCGTGTCCCATTGTTATTTCCATTATGAAATCAGAGAGATTATTATCCTTTCCTGCAAAGAAAGGTTCACTGCCAGTCTGAAAACTAATACAGCAGTTACTGCAATCAGGAGCAGGCGTTTCTTCCCCTCTAATGACACCAAGAGCACCACACACTCCGAAAATATGCACACTCTGTCACTGGCATATATTGCACATAGTCTTGTCAGAGATTAGGTATTAGCATTTATCTGTGAGCAGCGACACATAAATCTAGCTAATTTACCAGAAAGCAAACAGGATTGAACAACCAAAATAGAATTAGATGATTGAATAGTTTTCCAAAATACAGGTCTAATTAAATGTTAAAATGATTGGGCTGATTGTCAGTTGCATTTGAAATGCGGATGATTCTGAGAAGAAGAAAAAAAAAGATTAATACAATGTGCACATCCCAATTTTTATCCTACCTCCATGCTGCTGCTCCAACCCGCTTCTTGATTTACCATATCCATAACTTAAGGGTATTCTCTGGTAAGTAGATGGAGAAGCAGGAGGTGAGCAGATTGGAGACACTGGTGGAGACTTGGGTTCCTATTCCAAAAACACACCAACACAAAATGGACTTCTGAGACAACAGCAAAACAACCAAGTAATCCTGCATGGCAATTCAAATGTCTACAGCACAATGGACAAAGAAATGGCAAATGCTGTAGTTTTCTGAGGTCCCTTATTTCCAAGAAAGGGCTTCTTCAAAAACTAAAGTTGGTAAAGCAGAATTTAGTATTAAGCCTTCTAGGGGTAACGTGTGGCAATGTCACAGCAAAACTTTACAAGGAACAGCTTAAGGTATTTCACTTCCAAAAGATGCCTGAAGAATTATATGTAGAATGTTTAATATGAGTGGGTATCTTTGAATTTATGTACCACATTCAGTTAAGGTTAGTGCATTCTTTGTGGGAGGGCATTTTTGATATAAAACACCAAAAATTAAAATAAATCTCCGAACTGGTATTTTAAGCACTCTATGGATTTGTAGGTGTTACTGGGTATCTATCCTACAGCATTCTCTTTATCTTGACTTACAGATCATTTAAGAAGAGAATGTCATCCTGAAAGAGTTTACTACATAAAAAGAAAAATATAACACAACACAGATAACCGAGATAGAGCCAGGGGTTTGAGGGCAGCATTCTGCTTCAGTATCATTAGACAAAGAGAGATATGCATACACGCTCTTCTTCCTCATCCTGTTATTCCACCCATGTATCTTTTCATCAGCTCATTCCTGTTGGCTGACCCCAGGCTGGGAACACCATTACTCACACTGACACACCGTGTGACAAATGTGTGCACACACGTTATGGGAAGATAAAGTGTCTGCCACCAGGCACCCACACCATGACCTGATACGGTATCAGAAGAGAAGGTGTCAGGCCTGGGGAGAATTATGCAAATCAAGGTTGTGCTGCGAAGCTGCTTGTATCTGAGTAAGTGCTCTCAACTCTCCCAAATACAGGTAATATAAATCTCACTTAGACAGCTTTATTAAATTGGAAACTCCGAACAACAGACACCGAGATGATGTTTCACTGAGGACAAAAGAAAAGCAGACTTCTTCTGGACCGTTCCTGGAGGAGATTGAAATGGAAGAAAACCTGGCAGCCTTATCCGACCCAGAAATAGTGGCTTGTGAGTCCAATGTAATATTTCTGTAGCGACTCAGGATCGTATTAGCCATGAGAAATGGCTTGCTTTCCTGCTCTGTTTCACAGACAGGTTTCTATTGGCTGCTTCTCCCCTAGTGCTCTCCAAGAAACAGCGCTGGATTAAGTAAGAGAATGACACTGAAATAATTTATACAGAATATTACAGGGCTGACAGCTGTATACAAGCTCATATAGAGAAATTCTCTTCAGGGATGCAACTGGGATGCATCAAAATCAGAGTACAGCCCCAGTGGAGATTATCTGCACGTCAGGAGTACATCTCCTATTTAGTACTGCAAAACTAAGCCCACATGAGTGCAATCACTTACAGGACTGGACCCAAAAGGAGGATGCATAACAACACATTGTCCCGAAGGAGATAGGTCTGTTACCTGTTTGTCCCCTTCATCTGTTCTTTTGTAGGAATTTTTTTCCAAAGTTGCATGTGGGACCTGAAATTTAACTCCGTGGAGTTCTGCTGGAGTCCCGTAACGTGCTTCACTGTCATTTTTCAGCGCCATAAAGCGCGGCAGAGGCAATTCTTCATTAAAAGAGAGAAAAATTCAATTGAGACTACAGAACATTAAAAGTACTTTAAGCAGTATCATCTTATAAAGTTAATGAAAAGTTTATCTATAAAAGAGTATTATTTATAATTTGTAACATTTGTAAGTGTGTAACGCCTGTGATTATTTCATGTCTTAATAAAAATGTGAATGCTACACAAATCTACATTCACTAGCTTAATATATAATCTTACATATGCAAAGAGAAAGAAATAAGCCTTGTGCATGTTATTAAAGCAAGTGGCAAACTCATTTCCTGCCTTGAAAGCGTTGTCTGTAATAAGAAGAGTAGTTTCCCAGAGAAACTGTGGGCTGATGAATTAATCAGTCAGGATCACAGTATCTTCAATGCTGCCATCATAAAAGGAACAAATTAAAAATGGTAGGGTTAAGAGAGCATGCCAAGGCCTGGTGAGACAATTGTGTCAAAAGGTCCCATGTCGCATCTGCTCTGCAAAGCAGAAGAGTGAGACTTTGTCACTCTTTAAGACAATTGACGATTATTTTGAGGAAGTATCATTTATTTTTCGGCACAGTTGCCCTGACAGATCAATACAATTAACAGAATGCTCAAAACTGAGCAAAGCCATACATCTCCTCTGTAATCATTTACACCTACAGCTACTACCAGGAAGAAAAACAAATCAATCGGAGCTCGGTGCATGTTACTTACTCCACTCTAAAAGCATTCATACATTTCAAGAGAAAATGTAATTAGCACTGGAAGCATTTCAGTAACAGTAAGTAAACAGGATATCAATACAGGGACTGCGAGTACCCTTCTTCACTCAAATATGGATTATTTGCAGATGCTGGACTTGTAAAACATACACAGTAAATCTCGCTTAGTTCAGGTTTCCAATGTAGATTGCTGGTTTGTGGGTTTGTTGGGTTTTTTTTTCTAATTAGCATAGTTAAAAAGGATGCTATTGCAAGACAGAGTGCACAAATTGTCAATAAGGAAAACTGACAGATAAATCCAGGCCGCTTCACTTCACCTCTGGTTTAAAATCCCTGAACCAAACCACGCCAGCTGTATCTGACCCCTCAGGCTGGGAGCTCTGCACCACAGGAGCTCAGCTCACACAGGTCTGCACGTCCTCCATAGCCCAGCTTCCATGCCGCGGGACAATGCAGACTTGGGAACCTCCTCCCTCTGCCTTGTAACATCAGTGAATTTTTACATTTTGTTGCCCTTAGCAGGGACAGCAGAGCAGAAACTGTGCTGGGAGTGGTGACCTAATAACAAGGGTGGGCCCTGCCTTTCTGACTTCCACTCTCATCTCCTGGCCAACTACACTACTGCCTTTAGCTGTTTGGGGACTGCAAGCACTCCTGTCCAGAGCACAGCCTCACTGCACTGTCAAACACCTGCCTGGGATATGGGAGGATTCAAACCTGTTCAGGCTCAAGCCCAAGTGAAAATCCGCATGTTTTGAAGCCTGATCATGCAGAGCATGCATCACTCAGCCAAGAATATTGAGCTCCTTCCACTGAGCCGCTATCAAGGTTTCACAGCTAAAAGGGATCTGCTTTCCCTCTTCATTGCTTGAGTTTGATAAGCCTCTTTTAAGAAGCATTTTCCTCCATCAAAAATGGTACATTTAATACTACTGCCAATTCACTGGGAAGAATAAAGCTGTTTTAAATTACATCTAATACACGTTTTCATACCTCCTGATAGGAAGCATTATGATTTTGTCACCATTACCCTTTTATTTCAGCACTGCTAAAACAGATGAGTTTTGCAAGCTGCCCTGCACAGGGGGACCCCTGACCTGCCCACCCCCTGCACCATGCCTCCTCCACCGCAGGCAGCTATCAGCTCCCACTCCGGACAGCTGTCAAGATCAGAGGCTGAAGGTGAGAGAGAAATGCATCCCCAGCACTGATCACCTGTCATTCGTGCCATTGCTTTGGTAATGCCTTTTCCAGAGAGGGATGTCATCTCAGCTTTGCCATACATATAATTCACTGCAATTTTCTACCATCATTTAAGAGAACATTACATTACCTTGTATTCTTTCTCTGCTCCTCAAAATACAGTTGTTTCATGGACACATTAGAAGAAAAGTTTACCACCATGGAGAGCTGACAAGCAATAAAGAAAGTGAGAAACAAGTGCATAGCGCTGCAAGCAAAATGTGCTACTTACCATTCTTAATACTCTCAATCCGTACTGGGAACCCTGACTGCGCTGCCGCAATTAACTTCAAAGCAATATAAAATTGAGCAGGACCAAAATAACCCACGCGCTTGGCTCCACAAACTTCTGTAATCTAAGAGAGGAGAGACACATTGTTGGTTAAATGCATTTCACTTTTCCAAGGAATGTAAACACCACTACGTAAACAAAGAAAAAAAGAATCTTGAAAAATGCAAAACAATTGTTGTATGTAACGTTTTTTATTAAACATATTTGTTTCAACTCAGGACATTGCTGTCTGCTCACATTCCCCTTAGCATATCACAGACAGGTTATTTATTATCCTTTTCAGAAGCACTGCTGGTTAAAATTGCTATAGTAAAATAATCTATGAATTTTCATACTACGTATAATTTTAATAACAGATGAAATTATAAACTGTTAAGTACACCATCCAGTAAAATATTTCCATCACAGAAGCTATGGTATTCACAGAAAACCATACTTAACATTAGCTTAATTACTGTAACTGAAACATAAATGCAACACACGAAATATCCCATCATACCGCTTCAGCACAACACTTTGTGAAAAATTAACATGGTCTCAGCACTGAAGCTTAATTTCTACTTCACCGTTTGTTTCCCTCAGCCACCTCGATGAAGCAAACAGCTCCATGTTCACACACTCCAACAACAGCTAAACAAACAACAGCCACCAGCAGGCGTGAAGCACAGGCGCCAACTCTCCCATGTATGGAGCTCCCAGATGTTCACAAACCAAACTCAGCTGGGCACTGAGGTTAGAACAAAACCCTACTCCTCCCAGACATAAAGGGAAGCCCCAAATCGCTTTCCTGAAAACACACCTAGAGTAGCAATGTCTCCTGGCTGGTGAGGTTCATCCCTGCGTGCATGACAACAGAGCTGTGCTGGTTCTTCATGGGTAAGTGCTGCTCCCCAAAAAACCTTGTCCACAGATCACTCCCAAGCTACAATAGTATGACAGATACCATGCCCAAGTCACGAGTATAACAAACAGCACAAATGAATAGTCTAGCTTTTCTAATTTATTTTTATATACATACACACACACCGTGGCAAAATGTCAGGCAAAACAATTACTGAAAAAACAAATGTTCTGGAATGGTAATTCTTACTAATCAAAGAAAATTATCTTCAAGCAAACTCTTTCTTCTCTGGATGTGGCTTCTGCTTTGACTGAATGAGCTCTGGCTTCCTTCTCTTCCTGTGAGCTTTGAGGATGCATGGCTTAATTCCTTGATCACAAGATGTATCAAGCAGCTTTCTTTTCTCCTACTGCTTGATGAAAAGGGAGATTGATTTTTCTGTAAAAGGACAGCTTCAATTAACCAGCAGCATTTGCCATTCCCTTTCCTCTACATATCCTTTCTCTGAAGTCACTCTGGGCTTTCTATATCTTTTTTATTCCCTCTCCTCTGTCGCTGGCCTTAATTCTTTAATTTTCCAGTGGGAATGCAGGGAACTTGGCATGAGCCTGACACGGATAGTGCTGAAGCATGATTAAAAAGAGGAGCATGCCACCTCAGTGGATGGTACTATGCAGACCCCAGCATTGCAAAGGGCTCCCCACTGCCATAGGGATCAAAACTGTCTACTGTGGGGTCCCACAGAGAACAGGCCACTGGGGTCTCATGGCAGAGGCTTGCTGTGTTGCAGGAGCAGCACCTGACTGCCTGTGGCATGGGAAGGCTCCTGGGACAGCCAGTCACATTACCAGCACTGTTTTGGGAGGGCTGGGCAGAGCATAGGTACCATTTCTGAACTCCAAAAAAGGTACTGGCTTCCTTCCCCTTGTCCCTGGATGCTCCTCATTCCTTCAGCCTCCCCCTCCCGTATGGTCCTTCCTCACCAGTGGCCCCAGGTCTGCCTGACACAGTGGCACAGAGCATAGCCGATCATGTTTGACACAGGACACAGAGCGTGCATCACAGCTGCAGCCCAGCTGGCTCCCCACAGGCACAGCCAGCCAGGCACACCAGGCCTCGACAGCCCTGGGGACAACACTGGCGTGGGAGGTACACGGGGAGTCACAGGCCAGGGGCTTGCTGTGCCTCCCAGGTCCACAAATTCAACAACCTGGGGAGAAGCAGATGGAAAAGGGGCAGAGGCAAGCTGAAATTCAATCCAGGTACGCTGCCCTGGTTTGCTATGGAAGAGATTTGTTAAACGAATGTCAGCACTGAATACGGCATTCTGCAAAAGCTGGGCACCCACCTGCACCCAGGCCTTCCCATGACAGTGCCTGGGGTGGCAGCTGCTGTGACACAAAAATGGCATGCAAAATCCCTGGGTGTATGAGGGGTGTACCCTAGAGGGATTTGTCTCCTATTGGGCTGCTTTTCCACCATGGCATCCTACACTTGCTGGCACAGAGCAACAGCATTACCATGATCTGCATTTCCTCTCACTGGCTGCTGGAAAGGGGAAAAACCGAGCCACAGGGACTTTCACACAAGTCTTTGTGATGCTATCACCTTCTTGAGAAGATACTGAGCATTAATTTGCCACATCTTTTTCTACACTTTGAAATATTAAGGTTGCTGAATGCTTTGCTTCTGATATGGAAACGAACATTTTCTTCTTATTAAGCAGACTAAAAGTGTTTTATCAGGGATACGCTGTCTCTCAAAAATACAGTGGTGTTTCTCAAGCACACTTACAGCCAACCATCCTGAAACTACCTCTCCGTAATTTTGCTCGTTGCAAGTTAACAAGAGAAATATATTTTTGTAGGCACAAGCTCCTCCATGTTATTCATACAACTAATTCCTGATCTCTCTGTTAATCGCGCAGAACAACAGATGCAAGCTGACAGAGTAGCCAAATTTATTACACAATTAATTGTAGGTATTCCTATGGATTAATTGCGGGTACAGGAATTTACTCTTATCCTGTTCCTTATACAATTAAAGGCAAGGGTCCTGGATCCAGCCCAGACAGCATTTCACATTGCCTGCATCAGGACCCTGCCTAGAGCTGCTAGTAGGAGCAGTCCCTCTCTCCAGCAGCCATAGAGGTAGGTGGCAGCTTAGCCTTTATCCAAAATTAATTTCTCAGAACGTGCTGCCTGCTCAAATTTCCACAGCATTATTTTGCTGTGGAATACTGCATTATTTCTTGGTTTCCCAGTTTCACCTTTCGCAGTGTCAGCGCACACAGCCTCTTGATGGGCAGATTACCTTTACTCATATGCAATACTGAAGTTAGGCTAATTTGTGCAATATATTATTAGTAGTCTCCAAGATCCATCTGAATTAAAGGCATTGTATATGAATGTGACACGGTACTTTTTCAAGCTGAAACTAGACTCTTTCTTTAATAAGATCAGTTTGGAACTAAGATATATGAAAATATCCCTTGAAATACAGGGGAAACATCAGTTCTGCTTTTATTCTACTGATGTTTAAAAACAAATTCTTTCTACACTTTCCTGTTGTCAGCTGGGTTGAATACTTTTCAGCAAGCCAACAAGGAAATAACTGGTGTTTTCTATGTATGCACTGCTAAACAGACACACAATATAAATCAAAACACCTTGCATACCTTGATACTTCAAGGGATTTTAATATAGAACTATTGACAGTCAATTTTCATTGCAATTTTTTTTTTATTCTTAGCAGAAAACTGTGAACCTCTAGTGACAGCTGAATATTGAAGAAAGTTTTAATGAAGAACACGTTGGAAATAATTTTTCATGGAGGCAGGTTACAGATGTTGCTTGCCAAATCTAACCTCAGGATGATAAACAGAATTAGACTAAAATTGATTGATTTAATGGTTTGCCAGGCAAGAACACGATGCTGAATGGACTAAAACTGAGTTTAAATTTACTGCAAGGTATAACTGATATATGAAACAATTTCACAGGTCATTTGCCAATTAAGGAAAAAAGCTCATTTCACACAACATGTGAAAACAACATTTATCAGAGAAGGATGGAAAGCTGTAGTGTCTAATCTTGTGATTGGTCTCAGTCAGTCCTGGAACAGCACCTCTCAGTTCAATGGGATTTCAGCAGGTAGCCTTAAAACACATTCTGTACGCGAATCACATCACCCTCCTTATCAAGCAGCCACAAGAATGGGAGAAAAAGCAAGATCTAGATGCCTGCACATCCTTCTGACAGGCTAGAAGTTTTTCTATGGTTGTAAATTTTTTTTTTTAAAGAGATCTCCAACTCATCAACATTAAAATTTAAAACGTAGCTATGAGCTGTTCGGAAGAGTGGCTGTTTTAAATTACTGTCTTCATGCAAACTTTTAAAGGAAGAGCTTTACATCTTGAGATGCTGGAACACAAAGAAGATTTTTGTCTTTATTATCCACCCGCTGCTCCGCTCTATCGGATGACAGTGAGTGTTATTTTTGTAATTGCTCCTTGAAGACATCCCACATGAAGCAGCTTTTCCCAGCACAATCTGACATCGTTCCAGTTCTCTCCAAACAAGTTTCCACTGCAGTCTCCAAGAGCACTGACCTCTCAAACACCCTGGGCAGGTCTCATTTAGATTGCAAGAGCTAAACTTCAGGAAATGAACATGAGCCTAGAACTGAAGTTTGTTTTCTGTAAGCAGAAAAAGAGGTAAAATCAGAAACAACTATTCCATAATCCTATGGGCAAGCCGAGATGACCATCCTGCGGGCTCAAGTGAAAGGTTTTCAGCTGTAAAGGCAGAGGTAGAGCTTCATCTTCCATCTCAGATCAACCCCAGAAAGCAGTTTTTTCACTAGTCCTTGCTCATGCTATAATGAGGTAGAAAGGTTTTCCAGCTCATCAACTGCCTCCACCTTTTAAGGAACAAGTTGAAAATCTCCTCCTGTCAGCCAGGGCACATCTCACCCAGAGCTCTCCAGAGGACAACCTCAACTATGGAGCAACTCCAGGCTTCGTTCTGGATCAACAACCCTCGTATAACTGTTTGAAAGACAAATATTTGCAGCAGTGGCTTATCAACAGCTTATCTCAAAATTGTGTCATGCATCTGACCCACTTTACCCTTTTTTTTTTTCCTTTAAATTTGTGTTCACAGAGCCTTTGATCTGCTTGTTACAGACGAGTTCTGCTACATTCTTAAACAGGTATTTCTTTC